AGGGAAAAACAACCAGTCATCTTAAAATCAATTCATCTTATTCTGGAATGTAATGTTTTAGTTAATTTTAAAGCCCATGGCTATGTCTACACTGCAGGCTTCTTGCACAAGAACTGTTTTACGCAAGAGTTCTTGCGCAAGAGCACGTCCACACTGCCATGTGCTTTTGCGCAAGAGATGTGCTTTTGCGCAAGAGCTTCCATGGCGGTGTGGACTCTCTCTTGCGCAAGAAAGCTCTGGTGGCCATTTTAGGCATAGAGGTTTCTTGTGCAAGAAACCCCTGTTGCCCATCCATACTGCTTTCTTGCGCAAGAGTTCTTATAGAAGAGTGCTTATTCCTTGTGGGGAGAAGAATAACTCTTGCGCAAGAAGCCCTCTGTTCCAACGCTTTACTGTAAATTTACTTGCACAAAAATGCACGTGCAGTGTAAATGCTCCAGAAGTTTTTGCACAAGAACGGTCATTCTTGTGCAAAAAGCCTGCAGCTTAGTCGTAGCTTCAGTGTTTACTAATACTATTTGTATTTTGACAGTACCTACAGGACATGGTCTTATTAGGCTAGAGCCTATACAAAAATATAATAAAGAGACAGTGTTATGTAAGACTGCCTCTCAAATGCTGTTTTATACAGTACATTGTTACCTATGTTTTTCTTCAGCTTTTCAACTATTACTTTAATATATCAAAAACAATGAGCTTAAATTGCAGGACAAGAAGCAATTGGTTTAAATTGCCTCCCTGCCCCAGTCCTATCTTTTGGAACTGAAGTTGAGGCCTCATTGGCAAGGCAGATCTATACTTTGTGCATTCCTAGGCACATATCTTCCGTGCTTCCTCTTTCTCCAGCTGACCTTCATGTTACATAGTTTTAGAGAAGTACAGTGTGCTGAGGCATGTGCCTACTGTGCATAATGGGAAATCCAGAACTAATAGTTGGGCTCTCCTGGCTTTTCAGTACATGCAGTTCTGGGTGACTCTGGTCCCTCTTGAATGTCCACATGCACTTGGACACAGGTCTGAGTCTCTGTGGTTCCAGTTTCCACAGTCAGGGTTCCATTCACTTCTGGACTGGAGTAGGCACAAAACTTCCTTTCTCTCCGGCAGTCATCCCAGACTGAACTGGGGTGCTCCCTTTTCTGCTAGTGCTGCATCAGGAACATGCCTTGTAGGGATGTGGGAGCATGGCTTCCTCAGCCAGCAGGGAGGAGCCAATGCTTCCCCTTCCAGGATGGGGTGACTTCACCCATCACAGTCTCTTTTATGCAAACACTCCAAACCTATGAAACCCTTTATTACACTCCACCAGTTCATTCTGCTAGTCCCCCCTATCTCTAGGATATACAAAAATAGTTTTGCATTGCTGTGGAACTAGAAAACAGGCACATTTTATGTTATTTAGCACACACTCTTTTCTGATATATTGTTCTGACATTATCTCTTCTTGTACAGAAATACCTATCCTGCCTAGAAAAGTTATACCAGGCTACATTGAAATCAGTTGATTTTCAACATGCTGTAGAGGAAACCAGAAAGCAGATAAATGAGTGGGTTGAAACCTTTACAAAGGGTAAGGACAAGTCAGCTACTGACTGCTATTTCTTGATATTTAATCAAAAACTGTGAGGTGTTTAAAATTTACAAGGTGCCTAAAAGCTTGGAGGAGAAAATGTTTCTCCATGACTTGAACGTGCCCAGTATAGAGTTATAGCAGCAGCTCTCCATGATCTGACCACTTGCGTGACATAGAACTTTCAACCTCTCAGGGATCTCAGTCTTACATATGTCTTGAAGTGTCTAGTCTTACACCCACATACATAAATGCCCTGTATATCTCTTACTACATCAGACACATGGTACTAGAGCTACTAATATGCCAAACCAGTAGTTCCCAACCGCTGGCCCACAGACTGGTGGCGGGCCCCAAATCCTTGCCTGCCAGGCTGCTGCTGCCAGACAGCATTCCCTCTAAGGTGTGCACTTGTGTGGGGTGCACCAAGAATTTGAGGCCCAGGAGCATGGGCAGCCACCATGCAGCCTTGGCCCAAGTTTCAGCCCTTTTCCAATGTTGGAGCTGCAGGCCACATGGGTGTGGAGCAGCTGTTCAGAGACTGCATGGTGGGCGGCAAGCTGTTGCTCCAGTGGCCCCAATGGAGCCGTGTGGCGGGTGGCCCATGACTGCTCCAGCCAGGGCAAAGGGTGCTGGGCGGGGCGGCAGCATAGTGCCAGGTGCCCTGGGCCAGGCAGGGCTGGGCTAGGCCCTGTTGCTAGGCCCTGTTCCTAGGTGGGAGCAGGAGCAGGCCACAGATCCCAGAGCACCTGAGCAGCCTTCTCCCCTCACAATGAAGTCAACTTTCTGCCACCCATCAGGATCTGCCCCTAGGGTTATCAGGTGGCTTAAAAAAATACCAGACACACTTGATCTCAGATGTGGGAGGAGGGGGGGAGGACCAGCCACAAAGGGAGTGGGGCTGGCCGGGGGGGGGGGGGGGTGGGGGGGGGGGGGGGAGGAAGGAAGGTAAGTGTCTGTGAATTGATGATATTAGAGGTGGGGAGAGTGGGATGTTTGTGAGTTAATG